CGCTGCCCAGATGCGGCGGCAGCGGCGGACCAAGGCCTGGGCGGAGGGCACAGACACCTCTGGTTCGGACTCGGAAAACACAGGGGGTTGGTAACCAAAAACGCAATGGAAGGGAGACATGCCAGTGGCGGAGGTGGGAAGGGAGTTATGGGCGTACTCTACCCACGTCAGGTGTTCGCTCCATGACGCAGGGCTCTGGGCCACCAGGCACCGGAGGCTGGTTTCCAGTTGTTGATTGAGGCGCTCCGTCTGTCCGTTGGCCTCGGGATGGTACCCCGATGTGAGGCTAGCTGTGGCTCCGATGAGCTTACAGAACTCCTGCCAGAACCGCGAGACAAACTGGGGCCCCCTATCGGACACAATGTCTCTGGGGAACCCGTGGATCCTAAACACGTTGTTCATCATGCAGATAGCGGTCTCTTTAGCGGTGGGCAGCTTGGGTAGGGCTAGGAAGTGTGCCATCTTTGAAAATCTATCCACCACGGTCAACACCGTGGTGTTCCCCTTGGAGGTCGGTAGCCCCGTGACAAAATCCATCGAGATCTCTGCCCACGGCCGGGACGGGATGGGCAGCGGCTGTAGCAAGCCTGCGCGGGCTCTGGAGGAGTTCTTGTTCCTGGCGCAGACGGAGCATGCCTCAACGTACTCCCTGACCTCCGGATCCATGGACGGCCACCAGAACCTCTGCGTGATGGCGAACATGGTCCGACGTACGCCCGGATGGCAGGTGAGCAAAGACGAGTGAGCCCAGTGGATCACCTGTGGGCGCAGATTAATAGGGACAAACAGACGATTATCTGGGCACCCACGAGGTGGGGGGGTCTCACCGTTGGCCTGCTTCACCTTGGTCTCTATAGGCCAGGTAACCGCTCCAACCACACAGTGTAGTGGGAGGATGGGCTCAGGTTCCCTGGCCACGGGCTCCGGGCTGAAAAGACGGGATAAGGCGTCAGGCTTGGTATTTCTTGATCCCGGTCTGTAGGAAAGGGAAAAATCAAAACGGTTAAAAAACAAGGACCAGCGGGCTTGACGGGAATTCAAACGCTTGGCCTTCTTGATGTACTGCAGGTTCTTGTGGTCTGTCCAAACCAAAAAAGGGTGCTGTGCCCCCTCGAGCCAGTGCCGCCACTCCTCCAGCGCCGCCTTCACTGCCAGCAGCTCACGATCTCCCACGTCGTAGTTCCGCTCCGCTGCAGTCAGTCGTCGCGACAGGAAGGCACAAGGATGAAGCTTGTTGTCAGACTCTGCTCGCTGGGAGAGAATGGCCCCGATCCCATTATTGGAGGCGTCCACCTCCACCACAAACTGGCGAGCCGGATCAGGGAGCGTGAGGATGGGTGCTGTAGTGAAGCGCCGCTTAAGCTCCTGGAAGGCTGCGTCTGCCTCGGCGGACCAGTGAAACGCCACCTGCGGGGAGGTAAGAGCATGGAGCGGGGCTGCTGTCGCGCTGAAGCCTCTGATAAACCGCCTGTAAAAGTTAGCAAAACCGAGAAATTGCTGTACCTTCTTGCGGCTATCAGGAGTTGGCCACTCTACTACCGCGCTTACTTTAGCCGGATCCATCTGAACCCTCCCAGGGGCTACGATAAAGCCCAGGAAGGCGACAGTATCGGCATGAAATTCACTCTTTTCCGCCTTCACATATAACCCGTTGTCTAAGAGACGTTGCAGGACGAGTTCAACATGGTTCCTATGGGTGTTTAGGTCGGGGGAATAAATCAGAATGTCATCTAAATACACATACACAAACTGGTCTAAAAAGTCTCTTAACACATCGTTTATCATCGCTTGAAAAACTGCTGGGGCGTTTGTGAGACCAAAGGGCATGACCAGGTATTCATAATGTCCAGACGGCGTGTTGAATGCCGTTTTCCACTCATCCCCTTCCCTAATGCGAACCAGGTGATAGGCGTTGCGTAAGTCCAGTTTGGTAAAAATCTGCGCCTGTTGAAGCTGGTCGAATACTGAGGTCATGAGAGGTAGAGGGTATCTGTTCTTAACGGTTATGTCGTTAAGCGGGCTGTAGTCAATGCAGGGGCGAAGGGTTCCATCCTTCTTTCCCACAAAGAAAAAACCTGCCCCTGCTGGGGACGAGGAAGGTCGGATCAACCCCGCCCTCAGGGAGGATTCGATGTAGTCCTTCATGGCCTGCCTCTCGGGCCCGGAAACAGAGTAAAGACGGCCCTTCGGGATGGTGGAGCCGGGCAGAAGGTCAATGGCGCAGTCGAACGGGCGATGAGGTGGTAGAGCTGTGGCCTTGCTCTTACTAAAAACCTCAGCGAGGTGGTGGTAGCAGCTTGGAACTTGAGTCAGATTGGTGATCTCCGAGTCCGTGACAGGGTGAGTGACGACACGGTTTAGCGTGGGGTTCTTCCCTTGGGGGCATGATTCCCGACATTGGGTCCTACAACCCTCCCCCCATACCATAATGTCCCCGGTGCGCCAGTTTATGTGTGGGTTGTGATGAATTAACCATGGGAACCCGAGGATGAGATGGTGAGAGCAAAACACTCGACTAGGTCTCGACTCTTCGCTGTCCTTGCGCCGAAATGGTGGAACGCGCTCTCTGAAGACATCAGGACCGCAGAGAGCCTTCACATCTTCCGCCGCAAACTAAAGACACACCTCTTCAGACTCTACCTCGACTAAAGACTAACAAATTGTAGCACTTAAACTGTACTTGTGACGTCACTCATCTATAGCAAATTGTAAATTCGCTTATTTGAGGAAATTGCACTTTCTTGTTTCTTGTTCTCCTGAGTTTGTACCCTATGGTTGAATGCACTTATTGTACGTCGCTTTGGATAAAAGCGTCAGCTAAATGACATGTAATGTAATGTAATGGTGCAGAGGTGAGTGTATTAAATACAGCTGTATGCGCTCCCAGTGATTGGTGATGCGAAGCTCCACCGGTTCTGTAACATGGGTTATAGTGAACAATGCACTTCCATTAAGTGCGCTCGCTTTAACCGGTTTACTCAATGGGTCAACCCGAAGCCCCAGTCTTTGTGCTAACCCCCAGTCGATTAGGCTCTCATCTGCCCCTGAGTCAATCAATACCCCCAGCTCTAGGTTCTTATCCCGGTGCTTAATCCTCACTGTGGTCAATCGGCGTGGAGTAGGAGTTACTTCGGCGACTTGACTCACCGACTGGTTGGCCTTTACTGGACAGGCGGTGATGAGGTGGCCACGCTCGCCGCAGTAAAAGCATCTGCCCTCCTGGTAGCGTCGCTGTCGTTCCTCTTGAGAGAGCCGGGCCCTCCCCATCTGCATGGGCTCCTCCTCGCCTCCGGCACGGGTTCTTGAGAGTCGCTCAGGGGAGGTTTGACGCGATGCGGCGCCCCAGAGCGTCGGGGAAGAGCCAGGTGCAGCGGGTGTCCCTCTGGGCCCACGCTGCCGCCTCCGTTCCTGTAGGCGGTTGTCGGTGCGGATGGCGAGGGCGATGAGGGAATCGAGGTCCAGAGGCAGGTCCAATGGGACCAAGAGGTCCTGGATCTGGTCGGACAGCCCTCTCAGAAAAACATCGTAGAGGGACGTGGTGTTCCACCCACTCTCCATCGCCAGGGTGCGAAAACGTATGGCGTATTCACAAACGGACTGTCCACCTTGCTTTATCTGACTGAGCTCACGAGCCCTTTCTCGGTCTGTTGCCACAGGGTCAAAAACAAGTCTGAGAGCGTCGGCAAACTTCTTTGGTGATGAGCAAACTGCCGAACTCCTAGCCCACTCAGCGGTGGCCCATGCCTTGGCCCTTCCCGTGAGATGGGACATCATGAAGGCAACCTTGGACCGTTCTGTGGGAAAGTGCATCGGAGAGTGCTCGAAGTGCATTTCACATTCAATGATGAAGGACCTACTTTGTCCGATGGTTCCGGAGTATCGTTCCGGAGGTGCCAGCCTCGTGCACGCATCTGCTGGTGTGGCTACGGGAGGGGGCTCAGACGGCGTGGGGGGTTGTTCGGGAGAAGCCGCGGGGTTCCTGGAGAGCAAGGTGAGAATTTGTTCTACCTGACTGTTTAGGAGTCCCACCTGCGTGGTCATGGCAGTCTTAAACCCCTCCTGGCTTTGAGCAAGTCCCCGAACCCCTCGATCGAGGTCAGCAACAAGGTCTTCATGCTGCGCCAGTCTTGATGCTTGAGCGCGCAGCGCCTCCGTCAGCTGGTCCTTCTCTGCCGAGTCCATTCTGGCCAGTGTGTACTGTCAGTCAGGAAGGAGGAGGACTCGGACGCAGAGGGTTCAGCTGATATTGCTTTTTATTAATAACAAGAAAAAACTGAAAATCTCTCTTAACGAGGAAACAAAGGTCGCGATCAAAGTTCAAAAGGAAAAAACTCAAAATCTCTCTTAATGAGGAAAAAAGGTTGAGATCAAAATTCAAAAGGCAAAAACTCAAAATCTCTCTTAAACGAGGAAATGTAACAGGGATCAAAAGGACGTGACAAACGTTATCGGACTTGACTTGACTCGTGACGTGAGGGCTGGTGTGCAGGGCAAAACAACAAGACACACTGGCACAGGACAAGGGGCGACGCAGACTATAAGTACCCATGAGGGAGTTGTGGGAACAGGTGGACACAATCAGGAATCAGGGGAGACAATCAGACTGGTGACACATGAGGAAGGGCAAGGGACCTGAAACGAGAGGGAGTTAGTTTCCAAAATAAAACAGGAAGTCAAAAAACAACTGGAGACAGGACAAAAACGCAACTTGACATGCAGGTGTGACAGTTTGATCAATCATTATTCTAGATAAACTGCATGCTATAAACATTTTATTTATATATATATATATATATATATATATATATATATATATATATATATATATATATATATATATATATATATAAATATATGACAGATGGCTCCGCAATAGCGTATGAATCCGGCGGGTAAAGCTGCGTTTGTTATAACTGCGGGGGATCGGCGGTTGACCTGCTGTCCGTCCGCGAAAGGAAGGCGGTCCGCCGACTCGTTGCTATCTGGGGTGAGGAGGACGACTGTGCCCCCCACTCACCCACAAGCGCTCAGGTTCACTTTGTATCACCTGGATACAATTTGTTCAATCAAATAAAACAAATTCACTCATCAGATCTTTGAAGAGATGATGATGCAGGACGATGAGTCGCCTGTCAGCTGGTTTAACGTCGTGTTCACTGCTTTTTGTTAGTTTATTAATAAGCAAACCTGTTGAACGGGATGCAGAACAATGTTCTAAATCAACGTCATCAAGTCAACCCAAAGCCGCGTGTGGCCCCGCCCCCCTCGTTCACCGGGACGGGGAATAAAAACCGGTGATTCTCGCCGGTCGCGGTGTCTTCTTGCCGCTTCTCCCGATCAGCTGTTGCGGTTCGACGTCGCTTCATCGCCGGCTGTGATTCAGCGCGTCTCTCTCTCACCACGCGGGACTCACCAAAGCTTCTGCCCGGTTCCCCGGTCCATCATGGCGGGCCGACCGTCCGACCTCCTCGGCAAGGTAACATCTGCACAGGTTCAGGGCGCAGACGTTTAGTTCTACAGATGTTGGTGCGTCTCAGCATCCTGGGCTGCATCATCAGCTTTACCTCCGCGGCTCCCGTTGCTTAGTAACCTGCTTAAGATCCTTAAAACCCGAAACACGCGTATAAAGTACCGATGGAGAAGACTTCTTATTTCACTTAATTTAATTTATAAAGACATGCCTCTCCTCCAGAGCACGACATATTTCAGGCTTCAAATGATATCAGTTAATGTGCTTTTAAGTAATAATGCAATCTAATGCAGAGGAAATCAATACTGTCAATAAAAACACAACAGCAAACACATTTATTAACCTGTATGCAAGGACCTGTTATTATTGTCTTGCATGTAAGAGTTATTTTAACTGTAAGATGTTAGAATATGTCAGTAGAATGTTAGTCAGCCTCTAGAACAGAAGTATTCAACTAAAATGTGAAGAGGTCCAGTTAGAGGAAAATTCTAGAAAGCCAGAAAGGTCCAGAAGATCATAATGTGACTACTTAGTGTGATTAAATAGATGAGTAGAGTTGTATCGACATGTGCATGTAATCAATACACCACTAATAACTGAATTGGATTCAGTAACGTAACAAAGAACTGAACAAATATGTGTGACTGCAAATATAAAAAATGTTCTCTCAATTATCTGAATAAAAGTAGGGCCAGATAAAAAAATTAAAAAAAGAAAATGTGAAGATTTCTTCAAATAAAGTCAGTAAATTCAGAAATAACCTGAAATAACAGGAAGAAAAGCTTCAACTTCCCCTTTTCTGCTTTACACTTGGACTTCACAGTCTGAGCAAGTTATAAATAATAAATACATTTTAGCAAATATAATAATATATTTGTAAGCGGTCGACGAATGCGTCCTTGAGGATGCAGCCTGGCGACCTTGAGACAAACCCTGTATGAAGACCCGACAAACCAGTTCCCACATTTGTGTTTCTATTTAGTGACATTTTACCTGCTTCTGATCTGCATCTCGTACTCTGATCCTTACCAACACTCCGGCTTCCTGCTACTTTGGAACCGGCTTTGGGGGTTAATTCTTGTTCTAGACGCGTCTCTCAGCTGCTTGTGTCTTCCAGGTGTTCAACGATCCCATCCACGGCCACATGGAGATGCACCCTCTGCTCATCAGAATCATCGACACGCCTCAGTTCCAGAGGCTCCGTCACATCAAGCAGCTCGGGGGGGTCTACTTTGTTTTCCCCGGAGCGTCCCACAACCGCTTCGAACACTCCCTCGGGTATGTCCTCCACTAGGGGCGCTGGTCTGTTGACCCGGCATCGCTCCGCTGGTTACTACCGTCATAAAGCCGTGAACCAACGAGTCCTATCACCACGTTAAGCGCCGTATAGAGCAGCGTCAGCTGGTGAGACCAGACTCCCCAAAGTAATAAAAGAAACAACGTTCTCTCATGCTGCTTTACACAAGGTCGTGTCAGTTGAAATGTAATGTTAAAAGAAGATTTTTTAACCGTTTTAGACATCTGTGAATTAAATGGATTAATCAATTAATCATCACTATTGTAGGAGAGGAAGGCCGTAGACCCACAAATGGATGAACATGACTCCTTGTTAGGCTATAAACGTGAAGAAAACGCTCCGATGAGTCTCTTCATCCGGTGTAGCTCATTGGTGTTCGTCCTCGTCCTCAGGGTGGCGCATCTGGCAGGAGAACTGGTCCGAGATCTGAAACAGAGGCAGCCAGATCTCAACATCACCGACAGAGACGTCCTCTGTGTGCAGATCGCCGGGCTCTGCCACGACCTCGGTGAGTTCAGTTCAGTGTCGGGGGCTTAATGGCGGCTTATCGGGACCAGAAGTGATGGCGTGTTGATTACATCCTCTTCCCCTCCAGGACACGGGCCCTTCTCCCACATGTTTGACGGAATGTTCATCCCCAAAGCGCGCCCAGGTCTCACCTGGAAGGTAGGACACAATGACACTTATATTTTAGTGTTTATAGATCACTTCCTGTGCATTGGGTTCTTTCCTGCAGTTTTTTTAATTGTCACAAATTATGTCTTTTAAAGCAGCATTAACGTGAATGAAACACAGTGTAGCGAATGGATAAATGGAGGCAGAAGACCTTATACTGTATACTGGGCCATCTCTCATTTCTACATTCTATGTTCTCATAAACTTTTATGATTCACAATTGAACTGGTGAGATTACAAGTTTTAAAAGGGCATCTCCGCTCCAAAATGCAGAATGTGAACAATCTGAAAAGTCTGAAAATTACTTCTGCCTCAGCTGGTCTGTGACCACGAAGACACAGTTCGCCCCACTTTCATTCTTACTTTAGATCTGGTGTTATTCCCCTGCTTTTAACCTAAAGATACAGTAATAAAGACGTATGTTGACAGAGGCATTTTTATATAAGCTGCCATAATTCATTTGTAATGTAATTTGACTTCATGGAACGAGATAAAGATAAGACAAGATAAAGGACACAGTAGAGTGTTTAACATCTACTCACCTGAGAACTTTCTATTTGAATCTTACTTTCACTTTCACATCCTGACCATTTTCCTTTTCTGATTTTTGATGTCGCAGCATGAGAAGGCCTCCGTGGAGATGTTTGACCACCTGGTGGCTGACAACGATCTCAAGCCCGTGATGAAGGAGCACGGCCTGAAGCTGCCAGAGGACCTGGTCTTCATCAAGGAACTGATGGACCCGAAGGACCCGAAGGACCCGAAGGACCCGAAGAAGAAGCTGGAGGTAGTCGAATTAAATGTTTTGGGTCTCCAGGTGGAAGAATGATCACGTTGTTCTATTCGTTCCTGACGTCACTGTGGTTTCATCTCCCCAGTGGTCCTATAAAGGCCGTCTAGAGAACAAGTCCTTCCTCTATGAAATCGTGTCCAACAAAAGAAACGCCATCGATGTGGACAAGTGGGACTACTTTGCCAGGTGGGGTCTGTAACCTGAATGTTCCTTATTCATCTGATAACTTGGTCTTCTCACCACGACGTGTCTTCATCCTCAGGGACTGCTACCACCTGGGCATCAAGAACAACTTTGACCACGGCCGCTGCCTGATGTTCGCCAGAGTGTGTGAGGTAGACGGAGAGAAGCAGATCTGCTTCAGAGACAAGGTGCTTCTAACCCACCGGAGATCCAAAGCCCATCGGCTCAATTTGAGAAGCGTGCTCTCTTTAAACAGTCGCCCAAACTACACCTGTTCATCACAAGCTGTAGAAAGAAAAAAAAGTTTAGCATCCATGTAGTCGCCATGTTTGCTTCTTTCCAAGCAGCGAGAAGGAAGGCCCATATTAGGACTGAGGTAGGGAAGACTTATAACGTCTCTGGTAAAGACCTGTCAATCAGCATGTAGCCCCGCCCCTAAAGCATCTCCTGCTTTATGGTCTGTTTGACTCTAAATGGACCACCGTTTACTAAATGAATGAATGTTAAAGAAGACTTGAAACTAGAGATTGTGCATTCATTTCAGATTTGAGTCTCTTTTGGAAAACGCCTTGTCAGAACTTCTCCTGTCCTCCGTCCTCCATGCGTCCTCTAATCGGTTGTCCCTTTCAACAGGAAGTGGAGGATTTGTACGACATGTTCTACACAAGGATTTGTCTCCACCGGAGAGCCTACCAGCACAAAGCGGCCAACATCGTGGAGACTATGTGAGGAGCTTGTTGTCTTTTCTTCATGACCCCCCACGTGTTACGTTTTTACACAGCGATCATGTGATTTTCTCAGGATCACTGAGGCCTTTTTGAAAGCAGACGAGTTCATCAGGTTTAAAGGCTCTGGAGGGCAGAAGTTCAAGCTCTCCGATACCATCAATGACATGGAGGCCTACACCAAGGTGACCGGTGAGTAGAAACACTTTTTCCGTTAGCAGCACTGCAAACGGCTGATTAGCAGAGGTTCTCTTTATTTACGATGCCACGTTATGTGTAATTATCACATTAATATCTCAGCTTTAAACGTACTTTATATTTTGAATGAGATGTTTTAACATCAGAAATAGATACTAGAGCTGAAATATGTCGTGTTACGAAAACCCAAAACAAATTATAATAAATCAAACCTCAGTTTTCAGACGGTTCTCTTATTAAACAGCAATAACTAATGTTTTGGGGCTGTTTATCAAACCATCCTCGATACAAATTAAAATTCATGAGCAAACTAATAAGTCACTTGTATATTATCAGGATCGTCGGGATCCGAACCTGGGTCTCCGTGTAGCAGGCGGGTTGCCCACCACTGTGCTACGAGTGGTGGTGACTCAGGTGCAGGGAGGCGAGTTGTTTGTAGGGAATCAAAAAAGGTTTCTTTACTTAAAAAGAGCAGAGGATTCCATAAGGCTTGACAGTAACTCAAAAATACTCCCAGACAACTAAAAACAAGGTCTGGGCATTTTACAAGGTAACGAAGGGTGTCCCAAAAAAGAGGCAACAAAAGATCTCAAGAATCATAAAGGATTTAACAGCGGTAGCTCATCTGGAATGTCACGTGGCTCGGCTCCAGGTGTCGACTTCCACGACTCGGCAAACACAAAGAAACTCGGGTGGCTTTTTAAAGGCTAGAAAACAAGGCACAGGTGAACACAACGAAAACAATCAAGACCACACACACGTGACAGGATAAAGTGGAACACTGAGGACCCCACATGGTCCTTCAGGGTACTGCAGTCCAAAAGCCCTGACAGTATATGATGTGAATTGATGTTTTTCATCACTCCTGAACTGTAAACCAATAATAGTATATATTATTATTATTGCAGGAGCTATTTTGATCCCTTCTTTGTTAAACCTTCTTAAAAGTAATGGTAACAAAATATATTTGGTGAACGTGTTGTTGTCTTTGCTCCTCCCCACATTCTCTTTTTCTAGATAACGTCTTTGAAAAAATACTCAACTCGTCCTCCGATGAGCTGAAGGCCTCGAGAAAGATTCTTCAAGACGTCGTGTGTCGACGCTTCTACAAATGCATCGGCCAGGCCCAGCCGACCCAACCCACGACCGTCACTGTCAGTGTGATTATATTCAGTTATTTTACTTTGGAGAAGCTGGAAGCAGTAAATGTTTAATGATGGAAGTGTCTTTGTTCATGTTTGGATGAAGATAATGAGCTTAAATTGAGTCAATCTACAAAAACACGATTTATCTGATTTGTATAAATAGAATGCGAATAAGAGTTTAGCTTAGAAGTGGCTCATCTCATGGTCAAATAACAAACCTCCCCCTCTTTCTCCTCTCAAAGGAGGTGGAAGCGAGCTGGGAAGCGAATCTGGCTCAATGCGTCACTCAGGGCGTGGATCTGAAGCCAGAGGACTTCAGCATCGATGTGAGGCTTATTGATCTGATCAGTCCTCGTGCTCCCTGCTCTACCATGTGTCTGTAGGCTTCACTACAACCTTCTCACTCTTTTAGGTCATCAACTTGAACTACGGGATGAAGGAGAAGAACCCCATCGACCGCGTGCGCTTCTACAGCAAGGACGACCCGGACAAAGGCTTCCAGATCCCCCAGAACCAGGTCAGAACCGAACCAGAAGCCCAGACTTCAGATCTCAGGACCGGCTTCAGGTTGTTTATGTCCAACTCTTCCCAATGAAGATGGAGCTTCAAGTTGAAAACGTCCCATCTTCCTACTTAATTGTGTTAAATGAAGTAAACTAAGAACATTGTGCACCTTTTTGTGCCGTTTCTAAAAAAAGAACCATGAAGTTTCCCTCCTTCAACCTTCCAGCTGTCAGATTGAACAATGACGATCCCCTCGATAAAAACTGAGAGTGGAAATATGGAGGTAAAACAAATAGAGAATAAAAAGCAAAGCTGCTGATCAAACAACAGCTGTTATGTTACATTTCATCACATGTCATTTAGCTGACGCTTTTATCCAAAGTGACTTAAGTGCATCCAACCATAAGGATACAAACTCAGAAACAAGAAAGTGCAATTTCATCAAATATGTGGTGCCATCTAAATACTGTTGTCATGGGAATTTCCCAAAAGCTCTGTGGAATCTGACATTTTTAACCCGAGTCCTCAAAACTAAGCCGCCTGCTTCTCCTCTTCACCAGGTGTTTGGCTTTCTCTCAGAGAAGTTCACCAAGGAGCTGATCCGGGTCTACTGCAAGAAGCTTGACAGGAAGAGTCTGGAGGCGGCAAAGGAGAACTTTGACCGGTGGCGCGATCTGTTAGGGATTTAAGCCAGAAATGCACCCCTAGTCATAGAATTGTAGTACGTGTAATGATGTTTAGTGTTAGAATTATAGTTTGTGTGATGTTAGATTAGTTATTACATTAACATGTTAGATGAAGTGAATACAATGTGAATCAAACACAGTTTATAGTCTTTTAAAACGTAGAAACACACTACACATTTACATTCTGTTACAATGTGATGTTAAAACCTGGGGACGGATGCCAATTGCCGTTCTTTATGGATTTCTCCCAATTTTATCCCCAAAAAGGGTTTTTTGGGAGTTTTTTCTCCTGTCAGGTAATAAATGAACAACTTATTTCAAGGCAGCCGACTGAGGCAAATGTCTTGAGAATTGAACCACATGAACTGTTTTAGATCTTATGATGAAGTGTGATGAACGGTGATCATTAGTGATGGGTTGTTGTAATTAAAGTGTACTAGTTATAAGATGAAGACTTAAACGATGTATGCTTTGTTAAGTTCATTCATTGGGGCATAAAGCCGAATGTATCTACATTGAGTGCATTGGAATGTGAGGGACAGCTAGTACAGAGAGGTTTCAGGTTACAGCTGCAGCTTCACACCTCGACGTGAAGGGGACAATGGAGGAGGTGACCCTTTGGAGAAGAGGCCAATGACATTCAAATGCACCAAAGAAGACACACCTCAAGAGGTTTCAAAGGACCATGGCGGGGAAAAGACTGTTAGAACTTCTCCTGCAGCCGCGTTGATAAGTCACTTCAGACTTGCTCAGAGGATTCTCTATTTCGCGAAATATTCCACTGTTCGCTTAGTATTTCACTTTGTAATTGTAATCCCTATTACGTTGTTCAGTTATTAAATAACTTTTGATTTTTGAATTTAAACGAATTGACTCATTCGTGTCCTCGTTTCCGGCCGGGACGAGAACAGAGGATTGAGTCCTCCCTCGAGAGCTTCCGAAACCTTAACAGATCACAACAACTTCCAGATGCTTCAGGTAATCTGCATGTTACAATGCAGCAACGCAATTGTAACAATCTGGAAAACAGTGACAAAACTAGAGAAAAGAAGTGCAATTCTGTAGAAGTCTGTGAGAAAATGACTCTACTTCTCTCTGGATTTATTCCCTCAGTAAACATTGTAAACATGAGTTTATGGTCTCAGTCTCTAGTTTCAAGTCTTCTTCAATACAGATGATGTTTATTTGGTACATGATGGTCCATTTAGATTCAAACAGACCATAAAGCAGGGGCTGCTTTAGGGCGGGGCTAATGTGATTGACAGGTTATCAGTGGAAGCCAGAGACATATAAAAGTAGCCGACATGAGGGATTAAAGATGGAAATAAAGAATGGGATTGTGACGGAATTATATGTAATGTAATATGTGTCCAAAAGTCTGATCCGGTGGAAGTGGACTTCACATATTTGAACACAGATCCTTTTGACCCTTATAGTCTGTTGTTTGGTTCCTCACACAGGATGAAGCCCCCGAGGAGACTCCTGTTGAGTCCAGCGAGACGACATGAAGGAAGTAAACTCAGTTGGTACTAATGTAGACAAATATAATCTATATTATAAATCTCTTTCTACGAGGTGTTGGTGAGCACAGCAAAGATTATAATATCTTTGCACCAAAAAGAGGGATGCGGTACTCAGGGCCCTTTGCTTGTGTTTTTAAACTCTTTTATTATAATACTCACAAACATTTAGTTTTAGTTTTACCCTTTTTAATGTTGGTTTTATTTGATATCAAGTGTAACAGATCGTGCTCCCTTCTTCTGTCACAACCTTTAAAACATATATTTAAATGTAAGCTGCGAGCAGCGATGGACGGGTCCTCGCTGCTCTGCACACGTCGGCAATCTGGCCAGACGACTACAAACGCGGCCAAGAACGCCTGTGGTCGTCGGACAAAGCGACCACGAGTCAGTAATGGCAGCGAGCGCCGCTGGGAAGGAATCTTTGTCAAATCTATCGTTAACATTATCAAGTTCTTAAGTCTTTTCATTTGAGAGGGATCAGATTAACCTGTGAGGAGCAGGCTGTAAAATAAAAAACCTTTAACTAAGGTCATAAATGATGTCTACAGGGTAAGGAGGTCATGATAAATAAGGAATATGGAGGAGATTAGTTATTAGTATCGTTGAAATAAAACAACTTTTCCTTTTTTGCCGATGCTCTGCGCTCACATAGTTCAATATGAAAAGAATTCAAGCTTTATGCAATTTTTAAAGGCAAAGGTCTCAAGATCACACTGCCCAAATTCAAAAAGAATTTTGAAAAAATTATGAAAATGTGCAAAAAAATAGGCTAAAAAATGCAGATATTCAACGTTTAACTGGAGCACCCGTAGTCTTCAAATATTATTAAATAACTAGGGTAGGTTCAGGGGTGCACTCACCAAATCAGTTGCATATATATACAATCAATTTGTGGAGGACAGGTCAAGTCATGTGTAAGATATGTGTCTTGCCATATTAAGCCACACGTCTTGGATGTTTGTTGGTCGATATCTTCTAAAATCACTGAGATATCAACAAGCAACAAAGATTTTCAGGTGATATTGAACCAATAATGATCCACAAAATATTCTGTGATAATCGGACAGAGAATTTAGGAGAGATGGGCAACAATGTGTTTTTGACTAAATTCTAAATGAGGGAAAATCTAATTCGGCGTATTTAAATGCCATGATTGTACTTTGTGTTACCCGAGAGCACATGTGTGCCAAATGTCAATCAGGCATTGGGGGGAAAATGGGGCTACTGTGATACTTCTCTCATTTCTAGGAGGTGCTACAGAGACGCTTCTTTATACCCAAATAATATATATTAATAATAATAATAATTCCTTGAAATACAATAGGTTCCTCTACGACGAGTCGTAGCGAGGACCTTATTAATTCGGCTCAAACGTTGATGTGAACAGATTTTGGTGCGTGAGTGTTTATTTTTCAGATGTGTGTGACGTTGTTGACTTTATTGTTCTGATACTGAGTGGCTCAACTTTAAGATATTTGCATTATTTTTTTCTTCTTTAATAATGTCACCTTGTCATCTTTTCCATCTTACCTAAATGTAATCTCAAGGAAATCTCTGACGGCGTATTTTATGTTTTGACGATTATGCAAAAAAAAAAAAGCAATATTTCTGTGTGCAAAGGGAAACTTAAAGATGCTGTGTGTGGTGCTCCAAAGAAATAAAACGGGTTCCTCTCAGCTTGTCCTCGTGTAATGACCCTTGTTGAGCACCAGGGGGCGCCATGCTCTCAGACCAGAGGATAACGGATCTGTATGAAAATAACTGTTTCATACAAATAAGCAGAAAACATCCAAAAAAGAAATTTAATTGGATGATGTAACACAAAAAGGAAAGTTCAAGATTTTTAAATTTGCTAAAGAAAAGAGACGACTGGTTAATAATAAGATGAAGATAATATAAATGTCAGCTTCATTCAATGAAACTTCATTCATTAGAAACATTTTCTGAAAATATTATTGTTTAAAGATGCAAATTTGGACTTCTTTATTAACTATGTGATCATTTTCATACATAGCAGATAGAGAGATATGAACATTGGATGAAATGCATGTTGTTGAACGGTTAGGAAGAAAAGTTTACTGAGGGAATGTAGGATTTGTCTTTACGACATTATGAAATACCGTCAACACGCTTAAGAAACGTACATTTCCTCCACGTAGAATAGAGGAGTCTGTGGACGAGGTGTCGATCACGATCTCCACTCTCTGCTGTCCTGCTCCTAAATGGTGGAAGGAGGTCTCTGAAGACATCAGGACCACAGAGAGCCTTCACATCTTCAGACTACAGACACACCTCTTCAGACTCTACCTCCACTAACACACCAACTAACTGTAGCACTTACATTGGACTTATAATGGTTCTTATCTACAGCGAGTTGTACATCGGCTTATTTGAGGAAAATGCACTTTCTTGTTTCTTGTTCTTCTGAGTTTGTGTCCTTATGGTTGAAATGTTCTTATTGTAAGTCGCTTTGGATAAAAGCGTCAGATAGATGACATGTGACGTGATGTGTGAACAAACCGTCAGAACCTCCAGAATCCAGTGAGGAACGAAGCTGTGAAGGTCGGCGATGTGAGAACTACCGAAGGAGAGTTCTGCGTGTTTAGTCACATGACCGACATGATGAAGACACTGCGGGTGAAGACGGTCGAAGAATGAAAGAGTAGATGTCAACACGAAACTTCACACCACTTCATCACTACATACAGAGGAGCATTTATTGAATGAGTGCTTTAAATGAGAATTAACATTACAGAAAGAGAACTTTAATTTATTTAAATCACTACATAAATAAACAATAAATCAAAACTGTGATCATAAGTAATATTCTATTTAAATTCTGATTTATATTTCTTCTTAAAAACAAGTCAAAAACACACACACGCACACACACACACACACAGTGCGCTGCCAGGACCAAAGGCAACTGCCTGCTAGTATTTTTATAATCTTCATCCTCTCTGACCTGTTGCTCTCCTCCTGGCGCCAGTGGTCTCAGCCCCCCCTTTGCAATGCCTCGACTCACACACACACACACACACACACACACACACGCACGCACACACACGCACAGACACACACACACACACACACACGCACACACACGCACACACACGCTCCTGTACTTTCAGAAGCCACTCCACGGATAATTGAGACCAGCTGTTGCAAGGTGCCTCTTCTTTCACCCGGCTGCTGCACTTGCCTCTCTGGCAGAAAGCCCCCCTCCCTCCTCCTCCTCCTCCTCCCCCGTCCCTCCCACCTTCCCCCTTCCCCCCCCCCCCCCCACACACACACACATTCCCTCACACATACCTCCGAGTGTGTTTGTCTGTTCCCATCAGTTGGTGATTGAGAGATGTGCTTTTGTCGACTTACGCACACGTGAGCTTCATGTGTTTCATGTGAGCATCAGATGGGAGCAACATGTCACAGCTGTATTTCATCTCAACGTGAGCGGCTGCCTTTAAACAGGCGAAGGGGCAAAGGACTCACTCTTTACTGCATGTAGTGCGTTAGCCAGCGGCGGCTGGTCCACAGAGGGCAATGAGGCGTGGCCCCACCTTGAGCCCCCCCCAAAAAAAGGTTATCATTTTTAGAAATTGTATTAAAAATAAATTTGACAAAGAGTCAATATATCTATTTGTGTTTTTGAAACGTGGATTATATACCTGGTAATATTTTAAAATCAACATATTTGCGCAAAATATATGGTTTTCCTGCATGTATATATATAGATATGGATATATAGATAGATAGATACATGTTCTATATATAAGTTACATGTTCTAATAGATTTTATATAAATATAATTATATTGTAATATATTATCCGTTAATATAATATATTTATTATATGATATTTATATTGCATATTTATAAGTTACGATATGGTAGTTATATCGTATTCTCATATTGTTATATATATATATAGTTTTATATATTTATTAATTAATATACTGAATTGTTTGAATACGATTATTATGTTACAAGTGTTGGATATTTGTTATAAAATATGGTTGAACTGTGAGGAAGTGACTCAATGACCAACTCATCGTTTATTTCTAATTTTCTAAAAGAGGACTTTGTCCGAGCCGATCTCCTCTCTCCTCTATACAACAAGAGATGTGTGTGGGGGGGTCGCATAGGTTATAGGCCTCAGGAAATACATTTAACTGTAAGTATAATAAGAGTAACAATAATCGTTTTCGGAGCCCCTCTGGGTTAGTTGTGTATTCGGGCGTGGAGACGGGACGGAGAGCTCGGTGGTTGGAATCTGAGGCGTTTGGAAAGGAATGGACGGGTGTTAGAGGGAGGTTAGTGGGGGGGGGGGGGGGCATGTCAGACTCTCTTTTCCAGCTGGTGCTGAGGGGTCACAGCCCGTGTGGAAGTGTGCATGCCATGGCCTCTCATTAGGGGTGAGACGCGGCGGCTCCGACCCCACGTAGATAGCTGAGTCTCCAGTGATCCTGCCACTTGATACCCTGACCCCCCCCCCCCCCCCCCGCCCACCAGGAGGTTAATGAGCCTCATGGAACTCTGTGTAACAGCACACACTGTGTAACAGCATTGAGGTGCCAGGACCCTCCAGACCCCCTCATGTGCTTTGTGGTCCCTTACAGACGTAAAGCCTGGTTCGTGGTTGCCGTAGCGACGGCAGCGTAGGACATGCACACGTACAGTTTGTAAGGAGAGACCGCGAGGTCTTCGGTTGTTTTTTTGGGGGGGGGGGGCGGTGTCTTGAAGCGTTGCCGATCAAACACGACAAGAGGGCGGAGCCACTTTGATGCCACAGACCCCGCCCCCACACACAAGATTAGATTAGATTCAACTTTATTGTCATTGCACAGAGTACAAGTACTGAGTACCTGTCAATCAGTGTGTAGCCCCGCCCTAAAGCACCCCCCCCCCTTGCTGCCTTTACTAAATGAACATCATGCTGTATTGGAGACTTGAAACTAGAGACTGAGACCATAAACTCATGTTTACGTTGTTTACTAGACGTCTATGGGAGCAGAGGAGTCGCCGCCTGCTGGTCACTGCACAGAATGCAGCTTTAACACACGAAGCTTTGACGTTAGTTTTTAGACCCAAAAGTTCCTGGCATTAAAAAATTACCTGATAAAAGCACTATTAACAAGTCAAAGACAGATTCCATTTTTTTGCATAGATTTTCCTTTAAGAATACATTTAAAATGTATTGAAATGTTCTCACTGTAACGAACAAAAGCAATTGAAAATATATTCATTCATAAGACAACATTTTCTTATAAATTTGAGAATTAATCTGGATGTCCTAGTGACACATTTGAAACTTCCTATGACGGATTGGACACAAGCGATTGAATTTCTTTTTCTCACATTTAGTAGATTTCCCTTTGAGTTTCAACACAGAAGCCCTCCTTTGTCTCAACATCACAAGTTCTTTTTGATGTATTGCCGTGACATCATTCGTTTTTGACCATAATTACCCCCCCGTGACCCCCAGAAGAACCCCGCATAGCTGAACCTGCGGTGAGGACCGCGCGTGTTGTTTTTGGGCGAGTCGGCGCCAAAAGGACGTCCAACGAAACAGGTGTTCAGACTCCCTTTTCATCCTTCCTCTTTCTTCTCCGCACACCTGCCGGAGTGTGAGGACCCCCGCTGAGGGTTGTGGGTAATTACTTCACCGGTATGAACTTTATCTCCTTGGTCCCGCCCCCTGCCGACAGTCCCTCGAGGTGAGGTGTTACTTGGGGTTTAATTAGCCGTGCGTCTTTTGGTGCTTAGGTGGGGAAATGGGGGAGGGGACAGAAAGAAGGTCGGTGAAGAATAAAGAAGTGGAGCACAATCACCACCGAGCCGCTTTCCCTTGGAACTCACCGTCTTTGAAGCTGCCGTCGCCATCTTGGACTACAGACGTTGCCATGTTGTTATTTTCCGAAGCAGCGAACAGGAAGTGACGCGCACGCGTCTCTGCTTGAGACCTGTCAATCAGCGTGAAGCCCCGCCCTAAGGCATCCCCTGCTTTAAGGTCCGTTTGACTCTAAATGGACCATCAGTTACTAAATGAACATCCTGCTGAAGACTGAAGACCAACAAGTATCATTCCAGTGAAAACAGATGTTCTCGCATCTGGAAAAGCTTTAATTGTGTGTGTGTGTGTTTTTGTGTGTGTTTGTGCGTCACGTGGGAATCCTCTCAGTATTCTCCGCAGGGGGCGGCAGTAGGGGGAGTTAAAAAAAAACAAGCTCTCCGCAGGTAACGACTTCAGTGTGTTGGTGTGTTTTTATTTCATCTGTGTGATATTTAAATTGAGTTAAACCCAAACAGACGTATTCAGGCTCTGCTGCAGGACAAACTCTCCCAGCTGCACGTGCCCGACTCCACCTGCAAGTGGATCACAGACTTCCTGTTTGACAGGAAGCAGCACGTGAAGCTGGGGAAACATGTCTCAGCCTCTCGGACCATCAGCACCGGTTCCCCCCAAGGCTGCGTTCTTTCCCCTCTGCTCTTCTCCCTGTACACCAACAGCTGCACCTCCAGCCACCAGTCCGTCAAGCTCCTGAAGTTTGCGGATGACACCACCCTCATTGGACTGATCTCTGGTGGGGACGAGTCCGCCTACAGGTGGGAGTCTGACCATCTGGTGTCGTGGTGCAGTCAGAACAACCTGGAGCTCAACGCTCTAAAGACAGTGGAGATGGTTGAAGATTTTAGGAGGAACAGCGCCCCACCCTCCCCCATCACCCTGTGTGACTCCCCCGTCACTATTGTGGACTCCTTCCGTTTCCTGGGCTCCATCATCACCCAGGACCTGAAGTGGGAGCTGAACATCAGCTCCATCACCAAGAAGGCTCAGCAGAGGTTGTTCTTCCTGAGGCAGCTGAAGAAACTCAACCTGCCAAAGACGATGATGGTGCACTTCTACACGGCCATCATGGAGTCCGTCCTCTGCTCCTCCATCAGCGTCTGGTACGCTGCAGCCACAGCCAAGGACAAGGGCAGGCTGCAGCGTGTCCTCCGCTCTGCAGAGAGGCTGATCGGCTGCAATCTGCCGTCCCTGCAGGACTTGTTCGCTTCCAGGTCTCTGAAGCAGCTAAAAAGATGGTAGCCGACCCCTCTCGCCCCGACAAAACCTGTTTGTGCTCCTTCCATCTGGCAGGAGGCTGAGGTCCATCAGGACTAAGACCTCCTCAACAGAACCCGGTCCCCCACTGACTGACTCGGACATTCCAACATGTCTCTTTCTTTCTCACTGCACACGTCACTTTCACTTGTCCCTTTCTGTTCCCTGGTGCACTTTATTTTTATTTTTAATCTTTAATTTTTAAATATTTTGAACTTTTATTCCTTTATTTTTAAACTAACCCACAGCATTATATTTTATTTTATTCCTCGTGCACTGTTGTCTTGTTGTGTTTCCTGATCCGTCCTGAGAGCCGCCACGTGCGCGTGTTTGTGCGCGTGTTTGGTCACATGTGCGTGCATGCGTTGCCACCGTGCACTGCTTTGGTGTAGTTGGGCCCTGTAGCTGGTAATCTGAGCATAGAGATTAGAAAGAAAAACAGCAGAGAAGAATGTCTTTGGTTGAGCCAGAGAGGAATTTACAACGGCCTTCAGGCTGCTTTGACCTCTCTCTCTCTCTCTGTCTCTCTCTCTCTCTCTCCGTCTCTCTCTGTCTCTCTCTCTCTCTCTCTCTGTCTCTCTCTCTCTCTGTCTCACACACACAAACACACAAACACCTAAAAGAAAAATCTGCGTTTTCTACGATAAATTGTCTCATTAGATGAATCTTTTCTTACCAGATAACTTTCCTCTCCGTCGCCAGTGAAGAGAGATTTCAGTCATAATTACCTCATTAGTTGGAATGAAATCAATAGTCACACATGCCACGTTCCATATGGTCTGTTTGTATAGAAAACATGTGTTGGAGGCACGATAAGCTCCCTGTATCTTAATTAACTTCTTTAGTGTCACCGTGTTGTGTCTGGATCTGTGTTCTTCACTCTCTGTGATTGCAGCTTCAGCTCGTTTCCCTTTGTGGCTCGTTTGACATCCTCAGATTCACAGATTCTCGGCGCGTCCGTCTGCAAGATAATATACAATATCGTTCAGCCGAGAGGCTCTTCATCGGAAGGGGCGGAGAACTGATGTCACCTCCTTTCAGAGACACGATCCCCCCCAAAACAAATCAGAACCAAGCGGGACGCAGAGAGAGGATGTGTCTCAGGGACGCGTTGCCGTCTGTCGCCACGGCGACGTCGCCCTGCTCGCGGCTTCTGAGGCGGACACATGGAGGGAGTTCTGGTTTCAGAGGGACAGCTGTGTGTCTACTGAAGGAAGCCCCGACCACCTGACCTGAGCCCCCCTGACCTGAGCCCCCTCGCTCCGTCACACACCGGCAACCTGTGTGTGTGTGTGTGTGTGTGTGTGTGTGTGCGTGAGGACAGAGGGAAAGGATCCGCAGGTCTCTGCACAGACGAGGGGGACGGACAGGTGTTGGGGGACAGGAGGTGCCGTGTGACCCGGGGGCGTGGTCAGGTGGTGACACACCTGTCGCTACTTGCACGAGAGGGTCCGGTTACACACAAGCACACTCACACAGACACACAAAAAGCGTGCACATCCACCTGACCATGTGCTGGTGTGAGTGTGAGGTGCAGCAGAAGGATATGAGGGGGACGTGGGGGGGGGGTCGGTTACCGGGGAGAAGGAGAGAGAGACTGTGATCAATTGTTGTTTTCCAGCACGGTGGCGTGAGTTGGGGCGCGGGTCATGTGACTCGCTGTCGTGCAGAAAGAGAGCACGGCGGTCGAGGTTCGTTGGGCCTTCAGGGCGAAATCACCAGACGAGTTCAAGCCTCGATTCAGTCGATTCACCCGGCGCTCAACATTCTTCTCTCTCGGCTCTTAGTGGACTTTGCTGATATTTCCCGTAAAGCGCCTTTAACTCACCTCGTTGCTTGTGGGGCAATCACGAGCTTCGCCCCCCCCCCCACATCCGATTCCGCCCCCCCGCGGTTCCCCCTCAGAGCCCAGTGTAAGCGGACACTGGGAGACGTGTTCCTCTAAACCCTCCTCGCAGATGGGAGGAGATGGGAGGAGATGGGCGTCTGGCCCCCGGGTGTGGATTTCAGGCAGGTGCACTCGGCTTCCCCGCGGCTCCTCGCCGGAGACGGGACAGGACGGGGCAAGACGGGAGGAGGGGGGGGGAGGAAGAGGAGGGTGGGGGAGGCAATCTGTGCTCTCTGCAGTCGCTCACAGAAAAGATCCCCAACTCAAAAGGGCCGGTCTCCACCCGCCTCCACCCCCCCCAACCCCTCCCTCCCTCGCTCCCTAACATATCCCTCATTAACTGAAAAGCTTGGGAACAAAAAAACTTTCTTGGTCTTTTTCGGCGGGGAAACCCCCCCCCCGGGCCCCCCCGGGCCCTACCAGGAGGAAAAAAGTCCCCCTTTCCCCTTTCAGCCCCCCCAGAAAAACCCCGGGGGGGCCAATACCTGGGTCCCTGCATACCTGGGGTAAAGAATAAGGATTAAACTTCCCCCCCCTATAAAACCCCGTGGCAAAAGCTTCAAAACGGCCGCAGGGGCCCCGATGGGACGTGTTTTTTCCCCCCTGAAACGACATCTTTTGAAATCAGAGGCATCCCAGCAAAATTCCCCGGAGCTCCTTTTTTCATTCCCTTTTTTCCCCGTGGGGGGGAAGAGTTCCCCTCCGTCAGCTTTCGCTCACGTGGGGACTTGCTTGCCCCCCCCCCCCCCCCCTCGTCCTTTTTCTCGCACGCCGCCTTTTAGACCTCGTTTGCTCACAGCTGAAATAAATCACAGTTTACTGACGTTTCTGAACGCGTCGGCTTAATCCTCATCAACCAACAGCTCCCAGTACCCCCGACCCCCCACCCGACCCCCCCGACCCATGTGTGTTAAGCCACGGTCACATTACCGCCTGAGCACCTCGACAAGTGGTGCTACTGGAACCTTCACGCGGCTCCCGTCTCCTGCAGTCGCTCCTCTTGTTGGTTGAATTAACATGAATGAGGTTAAATGTAGCAGATTGTTTCAGTAGAATATTGGTGAGAAGTCGAAGACGACGTCACACGTTGGAGGAGAGAAAACAAAAGAGGGAATGAATCCCCTCAGAGGAGGCGACTTACACATCTGGAACGTCATCTCGACAAAAAACCCAAATCAACTGGAAGGAGGACTCACGGACTCCGCCCCTAAACACACCTTCAGCCCAGGTGACGTCATTTAAAGATTCAAACATCGGGACATTTCCGCGACCCTCTCCGACAACGAGAAGGTCGACGGTGCTTTGAACCATTCGGGTCCAACGGAGAGACCCATCTCCGTCACACACACACACACACACACACACACTGACTGTAGGAGGTGTCGTCGTGCTCTCTGACCTCTGATCTGGGTACACGCATGAGGAAACAGTGCCCAGCCACAAAACACTGAAATACTCAGTCAGGTTTGGGAAAATATTAGATTACTGAAGTCTGAGATCTCGTTGGGTCTTGGCTTGACCCGGTCCACAGTCTCATGGAGAGGCAGCGCTGAGTAACGTCTCTGCAGCCGGTCGGAGGGTTAAAACCTTCGCCCCACTGACTCACTCAGCCGTGCGGCCCTCTGCCAGCTCTCGCTCCGCGTCCTGGCGTGCACGCAAACAGCTGGGCGGCGCCCAGATGCTTCGCATCAGCAGGTTTTTTGTTTTTTTCCATTCAGGAAGAGCTGTTTAAACAAGACTGACGGGCCGCTTCCTGCGTCCCGAACATGAGGAACCCGTCTGTCGTTAGCGCGCAGCGCCGCTCCCGGCTACTAAGATCAGGAGGGCGGAGCTAGTGCGCCCCTCGGGGTCGCCCCCCGAGGCTCGTATGTTCCTTGCCAGTTGATTGTTTCTGTTTCCAAGATGACGCCACTCTTAACAGAATAAAAGTCCCCCGGCTGCAGACTGTCGAACATCAGCATCCAGGCTTCTAATTTACTGTTGTTTCTCAGTAAAAAAACATTTTTTTTGTTTAGTTATTATTCAGTAATCATAACACACTTAGATGATGTGTCACCTTTCATACATACAGGGGAGAGGGGTGAATAAAACAAAGATTAAAGTACTTAACATACTGCACAGATAAAACCAAGCGATAGAATATCGAAAGGCAGAAATAAGTAAGAAACCAGAGCAGTCGCCCCCTGGTGGTTACTGGAGAGAATGCAGCTTTAGGGAAGACCGCCTCGTTTTGCCGAAGAGTTTAAAAAAAAAAAAACACAAATCAAGAGAAAAACGGCCCGACATTCGTTCCGCGGAAACAACGGACAAGAAAACTTTAAACCAACGGCAATCCCCTTTTCTTGGTAATTAAGTCAGCACAACATTATTTCCTGCTTTGGGAAAATCCAATTATGGACTTTGCCTGGAGAGCCGAGCGCGGCCTTCTTCCGCTGTTAGACGGCCGTATTGTGTGTCTGTCACTAATGGCTCAGGAATGTCGCATTAGTCAAGGGCCGCATGCGTGACGCCGCCAACATTAAAACACCAATATGATATCACACTCGCCAAGAAAGAAGGGCGACAGGCCCGGTGATCTCATTGCCTCAAAGCTACAGGGTGATGGACGGCCTCCCACGCACGGGGGAGCAGAGCGACGTCGTCCCCCCCCCCCCCAAGCAAGGTGTCGGGGATGGATTTCAAAGATGACGGCGTTCGGTGACATGTTTTTGAGGGGGTGGATATTCAAAGGAAGAAACATCATCTGGCTGTATTTGGCACATTGTGTGTCCATCCTTGAACTTAAAAGGACAAATCAAATTAAAAGAAATGCTTACTTACCTGATATTTATCAGCCTGGATGCTGTCGGTGTGGGTTGCAGTGTTGGAGGCGTCGGCCGTCGAGATGTCGGCATTCTCTCCAATAAAATGGGACCGCGTGGCGCTCGGATCGGTGTGGTTCAATTTATCCACATCTGATAAACTCAACCACACTGTTTCTGTTTCAGAAGAATTACTCACAAGGACCACACTGCTGCCATAAGATTCATGCTACAAGCATTTTTTTCATTCAAGCATTCTGAAAAGTTAAGAGACAGCCTAATGCCTCAAAGCTGCATTCTGTGCAGTGACCAGCAGGGGGCGACTCCTCTGCTCCCATAGACGTCTATGAGGAAATGACTACTTCTCTGTAGTGACCAGCAGGGGGCGACTCCTCTGCTCCCATAGACGTCTATGAGGAAATGACTCTACTTCTCTGTAGTGACCAGCAGGGGGCGACTCCTCTGCTCCCATAGACGTCTATGAGGAAATGACTCTACTTCTCTGTAGTGACCAGCAGGGGGCGACTCCTCTGCTCTCATAGACGTCTATGAGGAAATGACTCTACTTCTCTGTAGTGACCAGCAGGGGGCGACTCTCTCTGCTCTCATAGACGTCTATGAGGAAATGACTCTACTTCTCTGTAGTGACCAGCAGGGGGCGACTCCTCTGCTCCCATAGACGTCTATGAGGAAATGACTCTCCTTCTCTGTAGTGACCAGCAGGGGGCGACTCCTTCTGCTCCCATAGACGTCTATGAGGAAATGACTCTACTTCTCTCTGGATTTATGCGCTCAGTAAACATTGTAAACGTGAGTTTAGGGTCTCAGTCTGTAGTTCCAGGTGCTCTTCAATACAGCATGATGTTCATTTAGTGAACTATGTCATGTAGTCAAACAGGGCATGAA